TTATTAAGTGTTGCATAGTGGCCTATTAAAATTATAAGGCAGAGGTGTAAAACAGAAAAAATGTGCCACTAACAAACACCAACAAAGCCAACTGATTAAAAGAAAAGAACCAGCTTTTTATGGGAGTGCCTTTAAGGTTTTTCTACTTTTTATCTTCGTTATTTTTTTACATTTTTTGTTGTAGGATTTTGCATGTCTTGCGTTAATAATTTTCTTGCGATTTTCTTACGAATCCTTTAGTTTTAGTTGTTGTTGTTGTTAATGTTGCTACAATATTTCATTTCTCTAGAGGTTTTTATAACATTATTCATTTATTGTTTTTTATTATAAAAAAATAGAATAAAAAGGATTTATTAAAACAATAGATAGACGTGTATTCTGATGATGTCAAGGAAAATGTTGATTGTTGTTGTGTTGTTTGTTGCTGCTTTTGTTGTTGTTGTTATTGTCTTTTATAATTGTGTTGTTTTTGTTTTAGGAATTCAGTTTTTGGGTCATGGCAATCTTTAGAAAAAGGGTTAACATACGATTTGTTGTTATTTCAAGGGAATACAATTCAATTGTTCTTGCAGAGTAGAGCATAGAAACATTTTTTCCTTACACTTGTCGGTTTTTTCCCTCCAAAAATGTGTGTATGTGTGCGTGTGTGAGTGGTAGGTGTAGTGGTTGCACTACTGCCATCACTGCTTCTTATGCTGCTTTTAGTACAAGTATATATGGAGGAGCACTCTTCAACATGATATAAAAATATAATCTGAACAAACTCAATAACTCATGGCTTACAACGTTAAAGCTTAAACACACGCCCTTTTGCTGCTGCTTACACTTACTGAACTAAACTAACTGACTGACTGACAGACTGGCAGACTGACTCTACATATTCATTCATTCAACTTGTATCATGGATTTCATGGTGTAAAGATAGATAGAGCTCCTGTTTTTTTTTTTTTTTTTGAAATCCTTATTTCTGTTGTTTTTCTTGTTGTGTTCTTGTGTGTGTGTCTTGTCTTGTTGTGTATCCTCATCAGTGTACGCATTTTCCTAGTAGGGTATGATGATTATGTAATGTAGGTTGAAGTATTTTAACGACAAAAACCAAAAGAATATAAAAAAATAACGAAACCAATATCAAGGAATTTTAACTATAAATCTTACAAAAATTGTTGTTGTTTTCAATGTTAGTTTTAGTTTTTAACAAAAACAAATGAAGCTTTAACAAAAACTATTTTATAGCCCCAAACACAACACTTTGAAATATATTTTTTAAATTTTAACACAACTTTTTTTTAAAAAAAGTTTTACATTTTTAAAAAAATTATTAAATTTTTGTTATCTTTAAAAATTTGCTTAATTTTTAAATGATTTATTTCTTTAAAAGCAAATATTCTTTTGTTTATGTTATTTTAACACTTATTTAATTTAATTTTTTAATTTGTAAAAAATGTTTTAATTTTCTTTTTATTTTGTTATTTTAATATATTCCGTCCTTATTATTAGTCGCGTTTGTATGCTGGCACAGTCGAATTATAACTGTGGTGCTGCAACTATTTTGCGCGTTAGCTGATTTTGCATCCTTTTTGAGTTAGAAGGAAAGCTATCATTAGATGTTGTTGTAGTTGCTGTTGCCTGTTTTTTACAAATGTGCGCTTGTTTGTACGTCCATTACAATGTGACATCCGTTGGCTTTTGGCCAAGCCTTATACTCTAAAGGCTCTCCTTAAAAAAGAGAAACTACCACAACTGACAACATCACATGGGGGGGAAAAAATAAGTAAATAAATGTAGAAGAAATAAAAACAAAATAAATAAGCAAAAACAACAATAACATAAATAATAATCATATTACAAATAGTTAAAATTTCTTTCATTCAAAGCCTTATGCCGCATACACTCCACAAAAGTTTTCCTTTGTCCAAAAGAACATTTCGTTTCTTACTTAAGGATGTTTGTTTACTTGTGAGTGTGTTGTTATTCTCTACGTTTGACTGTATGTCTGTCCATTCAACCATCTACTACTATTTTGTGCTTAAAAGTTGCCTACTTTTTTGTTTTCACTCGATTTGGTTTTTAGGGGGTGTTGTTGTGGTTGTGGTGGCTTGCATCGGCTTCTCGGTTGTACGCGTTAAAGGATTCTGCGTTGCCGTAGCATTAAATAAACAAACAATGAAACTAATGTAAAATTCCTACAATGTGTGTAACATTTTTAGCACGTGACAAATGTTTTGTTAAGCTTTCTTATCAGTTGCTTTTTATGCGCATGTTGTCTGTGTCTATTATAAGCTTTTGGTATAGTAAATGTTTTAAATGGCTATCAGGGGTTTTACTTGAGCTTTCAAATTGATACAATTTTGTACTGAAATTAAAATAATTATAATTTCCGTTATTTTTTTAACAACAATGGAGAACGTTTAGGAAAGTGCTTATTAATCAAAGCTTTTTGAAATTTAAACTTTGCTAATATTTCAATTATCTTTTTGTTATTTAGATGTTTAAGGCAAAGATTTTTATTAACGTGCTTATTAAATTTTATCAAAATTTAAATACAATTTTTAACCAAACTTTTCTCAATTTCAATTTTGATAAAACTTTTTTTGGTAATAATTTGGATCTGTGTAAAAAATCGAATTTTTAATGGAAAATAGAGAAAAAAAAACAACTACTTCAAATTCTTGAATAGCTTCCATTGAACTAGGGATTTCAAAAGATATTGTACGATTATAATCCATCAACTCTTTCTAGAAACTAATCCCAAACTTGGCAATTCCGAACAAATTACTGAGATAAGAACTAGTTCCTAAAAAAGGTGTGTTTCCCTAGATCTACTTCTTAGAGAGTGACAAATTCGAACCATTCCATTGATTGAATGTCCGTTTCATAATGCATCCTCAAAACCAGTTCCACAGGTGACAATTGCAAACAAAGTACTAAAGTACTACTCACTACTTCCAGATTTAAATCAGCCGATTTGATTCACAATATTTCGGATATTTTTGAGGCATAACTGAGATAGCTCATCCAAACCAGAGAAAGCAGCAAAGCCGAAACAATGTTCTCTACTTTCATTGAATGTTGGGCAATAACAAAGGAGGTGAGGTATTGTTTTCTCTTCCTCCTCATTATGACAACTCCTACAGTAGTCGTTATATTCGAGACCCATTCTTCTCACGTAATTGCTAATTGTACAGTGTTCCTTTATGACTTTCCCTACGGAAGCTTAACAATAAGCTTGAGCTGGGAGCATCGTATAGAGGCCAAATTAACCTCGAAGTTAAACAGTTGGTTTCGTTACAGCATTGGCTGAGTGGAACTCGGTTACTGAATTCCTAGCAGGAATTCGTATATGGAAGCGTTTGTCGTAACGAACCACATGCGTTTAGTCTGATTGTAGAATTAAGGACCAGTGGAATCGCCACCGGGTCAGCTGGTAACTAATTAGCAGGGCCTTCGTAGGCGTCCTCCTCATTGCTCCCGTGCATTGTTTCGTAGGGTGCACAATGAGAAGCGCTTTTCATTGCCTGCCATCATATGATAACACAATAGAACATTATGGGCTTAACAACTGCTTTAAAGTTCCAGTTCATACATTTAGGGTTAAGGCCTAATTAGAAGCCACCGTTCTCTTACAGGTGTAAATAGCTATATTAGCCTTATTAATCCTGTTTTGTATAGATTTCATGCAATGTATCAAGTAAATTATCAGATATCAATACCTTAACATTGTCAGGATAAGCGACAGTCTTAGTTCTCCTTTTATCAAATTCAGTTAGCAAAGACTTCATAGCCACATTTCAGAGTAAGGGAGACAGAACTATCCCCCCCCCTGGGATGTGCCACGACTGGCAAGTTTTGAAACATTGACTCCACTAATGGGCCTATTACTCAGAAGTTCTTTAATAAGCTGCTGAGTTTGGGGAAAATGCTTTCGGTTGATATAGCTGTCGCTGGATTAACAATCTTTGGACGAGTATGACTTGGGTCGTTTAGGATCGAAGATCCAATTGTCATGGGAAAGCTTCTATTTTAGTAAAACTATAAAAATGGAAAAATGTTGAACTGTCTCTCAAAAATAGTGATAATTATAACTGAAAGGGAGTCATATACAAAACGTTTACTGAGTACCAGTTCCGAATATGATATTTTTAAATACAAATCGTAGATCTTAACGCTAAACACATAATAAATTTTACTTTAATTTCTAAAAAAATATTTCAAATCCTTCAACTTTCTAAGTATTTGTTATAGACATATCAATAAATACGATAAATTGTAGTAAAAGTTTAGAAAAAGAAACTCTAAACATGTATACGTACAATAAAATGATTTCTTTTTCTCAGTATGACACTCGACATACAAAGAAAAATATCATAATGGATTGAAAATGGATTTGAGCAAATACAAAAAAAAAAGTAAAGAAATAACTTCAACTTCTTTAATACAAATATGTACAAAAATGAATGTATGTATGTTTCATACATAGAAATATAAAAGTTTCATTTAGAGTTTTTTAAACTTTTGTTTTAAGACTTTTAACACAGAATACAAACTGTGTATAGGGAAGTTGATTTGTAAAAGAAATAAGTTTTAAAATATAAATAACACTAAATTTAAGAAAAAAAGTCTTTTATTAAGTAAAAATAATTTATAAACTAAAACTATTTATTTGCAAAACTCTTTCTTATATGTATATACAAACTTTTTTACTACAAATATCTAGTTTGGAGAAATAGTGAGGTATGTAGTTTTAATAGGATTACATTTACGGAACTATATTTTAAAACATTTTATTTTTTACTTTAATCCTGAGTTTTAAAAAACTATATTTTTATAAATGGTTTTACTGTCTTATTAAATATCTACTAAAATTATAAACTAAATTGTACTTTGTATATTTAGCCTCATTTTTTTTTCTGTTAAATTAGCATTAGACCATAAAAAAAAGAATTGCCAAAAGTTGTACTAATATTTCCATTATCCTTTTAAATTTTCTCTATCAAATAATGTTATCTGCCTTCACCTTGTTGGTTATTCGCTTCATTTTCACTGTTAAAGGAATGTTCATCTTTCGAGGAATGTTGTAGAGAGTTGTTTGAGGAATTCTGGGAAAAATATTTAATAAAATAAAAAAAAATAAAATTTAAAATATGTTGTCTTTAAAACTAACCTGTTTGGTGGGACAATTAGCAAATAAATGATCGTCTTGTTTACACAAATGACAACGTTTAGGCTGAGGTCCCAAATGACATTTCGAAGCAATATGATTAGCAAATTCACCACAATTATAGCAGCGTACACGACGATGACGTTTTTTGGTACGCGGTCGAAAGGTGCTGCCATGACAATCGGAACCTTTAAAAGAGTAATAAGTTTATAATTGTTGTAATATTTGCTAAATTAGTTTAACTTACCATGACTGCCAGATACACGTGTAGCCTCTAGACCTCTTTCAGTTAAATGACATTCAAATTCAACATCTTCTTGTTCTCCCAATGAGCGAAATCCAGTCATTTGTATGACACTCTAATTATAAATAATTTTTAGGTTAAAAATTTGTAATTAAAATTCAAATGAAAGTTAAACTTACTTGGTGTACAAACACTTCCTGGCCACCATCATTGGGTGTTATAAAACCCCAACCTTTGGCCACATTAAACCATTTGCATTTGCCATAACGAACTCCTTCGGTTTCATAAGGTTCTGAAATTAATAAAAGAAAGATATTAAATTAATAATTAATTAGACTTTTTTAATATTTTAATAAGTATCCGATATCAAAAAAATTTTATCCATTTTCTAGATTGCATGTCGACTCTATAAAGATACCGTTAGACTAGTTTCAAAGGCGATAATTTCAATAAAAAATCATTGGTGTTAACGTGAAAGTAGAATGCAATTAGAACTAGTTAATCTACAAAACTTAACTGATATAAAAAACCTTAATCTGAATCACTCACTGAATCACTCAACTTGAAGGTCAAAGTTTATAAAATTAGATTTTCATTATGCTTTTTATTCAACACTATAACTTGAGTAACTTGTAACTTGGCAAGATAGATAGATAGATAGATAGATAGATAGATAGATAGATAGATAGATAGATAGATAGATAGATAGATAGATAATAGATAGATAGATAGATAGATAGATAGATAGATAGATAGATAGATAGATAGATAGATAGATAGATAGATAGATAGATAGATAGATAGATAGATAGATAGATAGATAGATAGATAGATAGATAGATAGAAGATAGATAGATAGATAGATAGATAGATAGATAGATAGATAGATAGATAGATAGATAGATAGATAGATAGATAGATAGATAGATAGATAGATAGATAGATAGATAGATAGATAGATAGATAGATAGATAGATAGATAGATAGATAGATAGATAGATAGATAGATAGATAGATAGATAGAAGATAGATAGTAGATAGATAGATAGATAGATAGATAGATAGATAGATAGATAGATAGATAGATAGATAGATAGATAGATAGATAGATAGATAGATAGAGTTCACTGCAGCTCAATCTGTTGGTTTTTCACAAGTCATGGAATGTAGGAATGTAAAAGTGATCAACTAACTGATTGTTTCTATTCCCATGAAACTATTTACGTGACTAGTAGCTTTTCAGTTACTTTCGCCCTATTAGACCACCTACAATTTAATCATTTCAAAGTTCTGCCTACATAATTCGTAACAATGAATGAATGAATTTCAGTTTTCAAGTATTTTCCATGTTCGTCTTTACTACGTAGTACGTCTTGAAAAATATTTTTGTTATTTTCATTTTAGTGTTTGTTTTTTTTTTTTTTTTCGTTTTCATTTCATTTCGTTTTTGTTTTGTTTGTTTTATTTTGATTACATTGCTTTTATAGCTTTCTTTCTTTATCGTCTGTACAACAACATATTCTCACGTTTGGAAAAACATACATTCTACACACACATTACACGCATTTTAAACCAACAAACATAATTATTTCGGATTAAAATGAAATTGAAAGTAAAGTATACCACCCAAAAAAAGCTTTTTAATCTAAACAACTTGTTTTAGTGGTTGTTTAATTAAACAACTTTTCATATAGTTTCCAAATTTGTAAAATTCAATCTAAATCAGATATTGTTATCATGGACCCATAAAGCACAGGTTTAATGAACAAAATTTAGATATCAGCTCTAGTTTATGATATTAAATTTTGGTTTTAAAAAATATTTATCAAATTAAAAAATCATTATTGATATTTTGAGAAAGTTGTTCAATTCAACCGGCTTAAGTTTACTTCAGATTTATACTGCCCATATCAATGTTTGTTGGGTTTAATCATTTTTCAGGCCCCTACACTCGCATACCACATATTCAGAGATCGTAAGTGGCGTCGTTATCAAAATACGATTGCCTCATTCAAAACACTGTGTCCCCGACCAACAACAAATTACGAGAATTTATTTAGTGAATTGAATGAATTTTGAACAAACATTTGAATTTGAATGCGAGTGAGTATGAATGGAATGCGTTGCAGATGGAATGTTGTTGTTGAATATTTCCGTATATGCTAGTGTGTGTATATGAAAAGAGATAATATTGTTGTTGTTTTGGAAGCAAAACTAATTCAAGTACACATGTACTACCACTAACAATGGCTTTAAAATATTAGAAAAACTTTAAACTATTTGATTGAAATCTATCTTTGCTTATTCCCAACAAAATCCTTTCTTCCACATAGACAAACCCCGAAACTTTGCATATTCTAACAATGAAGAGACACATACACACGGTGGCCTAAACATACAATTTTTTATTTATTTTAATTAACTAGCTTCTTGCTCATAGATCGATCGGTGAGTGGTTGAAAGCTTGTTAGAGAAAAAAACGTGTTTGTTCTAATTTTTTTCTTATTATTACAAACAACGTAAGCTTTTTTCTAGTTGTTTTTGTTATTGCTTTCATAGTTTTGGGATTAATATTAGAAAAGAAACCAGTTTATGTGTCTAAAAAGAAATACGCAGCTCAGCACGCATATCATTCATACGTACATATGTTTATGGGAGTCTATTGGTGGGAATCTGTTTCGTTTCGATAGTTCTGTTCGAGAAAACTGAAATATGTATGTAGTTTGTCATTTACATTTGAGTTAAGTTTAATTTGTCTCTGTGTTGTTTATTTCATTTAAGAAATCTTTATGATGATCATACGCTTGTAGATAGTGCTGTGAGCTTGTAGCCATCTTGATTCCTGTGTTAAAGGAAACGCATGAATCTCATAGTTCGCACGGTAGTTTAAATTATGTGAATATTGTTTAACAAGTTAATATTAATTAGTGATATACCATCTCTTTGCATTTATTAATGTTCTTGAAGTGGTTGAGGACTATTTATCCTTTCAGAAATCCTTTAAGAAATTTTTTTTAAAATTTTATATCGTGATGAATTAACTGAAAATTTTATAATTTTCTGCAGGATATTCTTTATCTATGATTTTAAAGCATCAAATATCTTCGTGATAAAAATTTTATTCTATTAGACATGCTTTCGATAATTTTGGTATTTGAATTAAATATTATTAAATAACTTTGTGTTCGAGATATATGTTTTTTTAGGGATTTTGCTTATATCTTTTGAATTATGCACATAATTTGGAATTAGTTATTGTCAAATAAATAAGGTCAACAAAATTTTAAGGCAACTCGAAGGGAGATATCATATCAAGTATGGCCAAAAAACGTCTCAAATATGGCCATGACACGATATCTTAAAAACCTGATGAGATGGATTCAGATTCCAGATGCGGATCCTTTAGAATTTGGGTTTTGACTTTTTTTTAAATAACGTAAACGTCTATTACAAGATCTATGAGAAATATTTTAATGTTAGTATGTATGTATGTGCTTCGACTATAAAAGTATTGTTCAAAGTACGATTTAGCTTGACCGACCAAACGTTCGGATTCGATGTTTGGAAGTAAGCTCTCAATAATCTGCAAACTAATAGAATACGTTACAAATAAAACTATAAATTTAATATTTAAAGACCTTTTACGAAGCTACACTTCATATCTCGTAAGATACGTCACTGATTGAAATCGAAAAGCAAAAGAAAACTCACCATAAAGGTTTTAGAACCCATGGAATACATATATTTTTTTTTTTCATAAGCTAGACTCATCACAATATATATACCGAAATTCAAGAGATGGGCAAAACGTATTTCAACTAATAAATTTTTCACAAATATTGCTGATATTTTAAAACAGCACCCTTGAGTTGATCACTCTAGCGATATCGTATCGATGTCGTTATAATTTCTTTCTAATGTTTCTACTATAAATCTCGAAAACTCGAAAATATACCTAAGTACTACAAATTTCAAATTACAGACAAACTTCGATATAATGAATCTCAAGGGGATAGCAAAATACTTCGTTATAAATACGCGAATAACGCTATAAATATGTATCAGTGAAACTTTGACATAACGAAATTACAAGAAATACGAATATAGTTATAACGATACTAAAGTTTTTGTATCTAAAGTCTATTCTATCCAAAAATATTAGTAACAAACAAAAAAGTACAGTCGGGCCTGGCCGACGATATGATATGAATTATTCTAAATCGATTAGATTGATCGATTTATGATGGGTGTAGGACCTATATTTGTGCGTTTTTTATTCCATATAAAACATTATAGAAATTTTGGGCCCCTCTTCCCGATCGTTGATTAAAACTTTGAACGGAGCTTTGTAGTCTTCTTCCAAATCTAGGTATTAGTTCCAATATTGATTTTGGCAGCAATTTTTTTTGGGAAAATCTTTTTCGATCGCATACAGATATAAAACAAGTCTACATGAACTTTGAATTTTATATGAATATAAATCTTCATATATGTCAACACTGGACACGACTGACTTTGCTTTAAATTTCATTTTGGTTTATTTGTACTTTGTTATATAGAAGCTTTTGGGCGAATACTTCGCTATATTGAGGTTTTTTTTTAATTCAGAATTTCTTCCTTATATACAGAGGTTTTTTCAAGGGACTGAAAAAACAATTCGTAATATTGAGTTTTTCGTTATAACGAGGTTCGTTATATCGAAGTTTTACTGGGTAAAATATTCGCTTACTAATCTATGTACAAATTCTAATATGTTCCAAAAACGTATAAATATCTTCTCCAGGTGTCCATAAGAGGCACTTTATAAATGGATTTGAATATTTTGGTTTCCCTGGTCATAAACCTGGTGTAGATGTAAAACCAAGTCTAGATGATCTTTGAATTTTATATGAAGATAAATCTTCCTATATGGAAACACTGGATACGACTGACTTTGCTTTAAATTTGATTTTGTTTTATTTGGACTTCGTTATATAGAAGATTTTGGGGCGAATACTTCGCTATATTGAGGTTTTTTTAGTTCAGCATTTCTTCCTTATATAAAGAGGTTTTTTTCAAGAGATTGAAAAAACAATTCGTTTTTCGTTATAACGAGGTTCGTTAAAACGTATAAATATCTTCTCCAGGTGTCCATAAGAGGCACTTTATAAATGGATTTGAATATTTTGGTTTCCCTGGTCATAACCCAGGTGTAGATTTATTGTGTAATAAATTTTATGAAAACAATATTTTACAAAAGTTATAAAATACAGTTTTTCCTTTTCTAAATGCAAATCCAAATTTCATTACAGATACACAGAAAGAAATCGTATTTTAACTTTATTTTTCTCAATTTTAGCCTAACTCGTACTTAAAAATGTAAGAACGATTTTATTACTTAAAACTAGTAATCATTCTTAAAATAATTACACATTGAGATTTATTAAAAAAATCGAAAGAAAAAATTCTTAAAAGGAATATGAATTTCTATTTTCATAATTTTTCGATATTACGTTTTTCGATCCAATACTTTATGTTTTTAGTACAATATAATGTTTTCATAAAACTTATAATGCTATTGGGATTTATAACAGTAAAATACAATACTAGGATAAAATCTCTTATACAAAGTTCTCTTATACAAAATCATGATCACTCTCCCAACTATTATATTTAGATGCAAATAGAAATACATGTTTCTATGATTTCTAACCCCCATTACTTTATATCTAGCGCTAGAGTGTGTGTACTCATAAATTCTATTTCTGGATAATAATTTAAGGGATGATAATAATAAATGTTTTTTTCAACACATTTTGCAGTTTGAATTTTCTTACTCAACCGAACCAATAAAACAAACAATACTTTTTTGTTCTTCAATAAAAAACTCTACAACAATACAAACAGATATCTTATTGGTATTTTTCTAAAAAAAATGTGAATGGTTTTTTATGTGAGTGTATAAATAAAAATGTTAAGACCTGTTGATGCAACATAATAATTTAGAGTTTTTTAAAAACTACTTACCTATTGGAGGTCTATTAGATCCCATTGTGTTTTGTTGGAGTGTACTGTCATCAAAATTGTTAGCTGCAGCACCATTATTATCATTTTCCATATTAGCTTGATTGTTTGAATTGATCATGTTGCTTGATAAGCTTTCTTAATATTTATTATTTTTTTTAATAATTCTTTTAGTCGTCTTTTAAAATTCACTTTAAATTTGTAACTTTAGTTGCTGTTGGATTTTTTATGTTGTATTTTTTTCAATATCAAATATTTGGTTTTATCACTTAATTGTTTGTTACAAAAATGTGTGTTTTTTGGGTAATTTATTTGGATTTGTGCGTGTTTGTTATTTATTTTCTTTTACTATTCGTTCTATCCGTTTTCTAATGCACACAAATGCTACGCATGACGCACACTGACATACTGACGTTTAGTTATGTTTAACTATTTCTAAGAACCCCCGAAAAAAAGAAATAAAACTATGGGAAATATTTAAAACTATCAGCAGCAGCAGCGGCTATGGCAATAGCAATAGAGCGATCTACAAAAATAACAAGAATGAAAGGAAAAAACAACAACAAAAACAAAATATATAGAAACCATCAACATTTTATCAATACGCAGTTTGCAGAGAACTTATACATATAAATAGACACACACACATATACGCACGCATAAAAGAACCCGAAATTGGAATCCACGACCATTAGAAATAGTACATACAGTATCATCAAAGGCATCATCATCATCACATCCAAAATAACAATAACAACAACAACTCAAGTAATAAGAAGAACAATTACATGGAATAGGGCTCAGTGTTTCTTTACTTACTTACTCCATTCATTTCTTCATTCATTCATCCATAGATGTTTGGATTAGTACTTATGATACCCCAATAGTTCTGGGCCACTCGTTCGAACTATCAGTTTTATCGAAAACCTCAAAACATATTTGATTTTCACTAACCAAAACTCCTTTATGATCTTTTGAATAGAAAGTGCTTTAAGTATTAAAAATTTCAGCTGTTATGTGAATTGATGGCTTCAGAAAGTTGTAGAAATAGAATAGGACTTAAATAAATGTAGACATTACATAAAATTTAGGGAGCTATAGCGGTCCGCATTGATCTTCACGTAAAGATATATGTATATACCCCTCAAATTTTAAAATAATCGGTGTAGCGGTTCAGGTGTAATTGACTGAAAATTAAAACTTATGCGCCATATGTCGGGCAAAACTTTACAAGAACACTTATCACGATCCCTGGAACACATATTTGATAGATAGATAGATAGATAGATAGATAGATAGATAGATAGATAGATAGATAGATAGATAGGTAGATAGATAGGTAGATAGATAGATAGATAGATAGATAGATAGATAGATAGATAGATAGATAGATAGATAGATCGATAGATCGATAGATCGATAGATCGATAGATAGATAGATAGATAGATAGATACATAGATAGATAGATATATTTAAAAGAACTTGCTCTAAAAATATTGAAAAAATTCTATGGATAGCAATATCTATTGACCTTATGCCAGGACCACGTCCTCAAAAAAAATTTCATTTCATTCTAATGTCTTAAACATCTGCAGAATTTTATATAGTTCTGATTACACTCATATCCAACTCCTAATTTAAAAAGTCTTGAGATTTTCAAATCTCTATACCGACCAATGGTTTTCCGTAACAACATGCCAGGTCATCCATGAATATGAAATATTAAAAATGTCTCAAATATTCCAAATAATCGAGAATTATCAAAGTAACTGCAGAAAGTGTTTAAAGCAGTAGTTAAACAACGCCGTACTTTACTTACATACTCAGGTCCAGAAATACAAGATAGAACGAAAGTTGTTCTAATCATAAAATTCAACATTACATTGACAGGGACATCATCTATGTTCCTTATATTCCCTTCATCAAATTCACAGAAATAGGGAAATAAAAGGAGCACATTTTTTTCTAGATATTGCCCTCAAATAAAGGGAAAATCGATGGAAACCCCTGTTCTAAACTCTGGAAGTATTATGAGTTCATCGACGACAAGCAGTCCGTTAATTGAAAACGGCCCGAAATTCTTTTTCCTTCTAAAGTTGCATTTAAGCAGAGACATTTTGTAAAATTCTTGAAACATTCAGCAGCAAAATTCGCTCAATGTAACTCTAAAGGATTTCAATCGTTATCAACTAATTAGTTTAAAAAATCCAGTAGTCAAATTTGAAAACATTTTAATATATTTTATTAGCTACAAATGTTTATCTTTTCGGGTATTCAGTTATATACTACGAAATACTAGAAGTTTCGCGGATCACTTTAGTGATTCAAAGTAATTACCCTCCTGTTTACTTTGGATCACAAAAAATGTTCATATCTTAGTTTTCTTATCTATGTCAATAGAACTCTTCCTTTTAACCAGTGAGGATTTTAAATGACAAGTAGAAACTATTAGTTCAGGACGGTCCCCTAAAACTGTTGGGTATACATTCATATACGTATGTATATCTGTTTTCTAGTGTATATGTTATTCTCAAACGTTTAGTAAAGTGCGTATGTTTTAAAGTTTAGAAATATAAAATGATTTCTTTGAGAAGGGTTTTTCTTGTAGGGTGCTGCACTCGCTATACCCCATGAACCCCGATAAATATAAACATAAAAACCAAAAAGCTTGCACAGAAGTATTCTCAAATACATGTTAACAATTAGTAAATAAAAATATTTTCTTTAAGTTTAATATAGTAAAGTCACAAACCTTAAAAGCTATTTACCTCCAATCCAACACTATATCTAATTCAATTAGGATGGCTCCTTAAACATAATATTCAGAAATATTCTTAAGTAAAGTAAGAACTTGATATAAAACTGGCCCTTGGGTGAAAGAAAACATAGAACAAATCCTGTGACTGATTTTTTGGGAGGTGGATTACGATTATTTGTGAACACTTAATACTAAGTTAAACAAGAAATGGACAAAAAGGAGGGAGCTAGGAAAAATTTTTTAAGTTTTGGATAAAAAAATCTAAACTTGAATTTTATTTTGAAAACTTTTTTTTCGGTCTTATCGTTATGTGCCGAGTTTTTATACATGTGTAATACTTATTTACTTCTTTATGTATTATTTGTTCATATTTAAACCCCTATTGCTTACATCCTATTGGCTAATCATTTTTTAGCAAATTAAAAAACTGATTGATAAAAAATTGCAATAAAAAAGTAGCACTCGAATAATATTTCCACCACAATTTTTCTAATGTGCTGCATAGTACAGTGACAAACAATAGTGTGACAATTCAATAAGGGTGAATTATAAATAGAAGCCGAATATATATATTTATAAGCAACCTTCAAATGCAAAAAGTGGCGATTTTTTGTAATTTTACAACAACGTTGTCAATTTGTTTATGGGTAAATTTTTGATAGTTACTGTGCATTTTACACACCACTATTGTGTATATAGTGTTGCAAATGTGTTAAAAACATCCCTCCTTATTTGTGGATAATGCAACTTATAGTTTGCAATTTGCAAATAATTGTTGACACGTGCCATTTGTTTTCGTGAAATACATAATCAACCCCCTTATACAGAGAAAAGTCACTATCATCTGTTTTTGTTAGATTGCACATGTGTGTGGATCACATGCCAACTGATCAGAAAATTTAAAAACTCAAGTTTCAAGAGACTTTATTAAATATTTCTGAGAGAATGATAAAATTTTTCAAACTATTATTTTTCTTCTTATTTTGTTGGTCTAACTCCCACAAATCGGAACATTTAAGAATTCTATTTATTCAATTTGTTATATTTATCTAATAACTATAATTTACAATATTAACGTCGATATTCTTGCGAAACTTGCGACTGGATAAAAATCGAAATCTCAAAAGAGAATTTAAGGGATCTCACATGATCAGACCGATCTAATTTTTTTAATATTCGATTGATTTTTCACTCTGAGTATTTTTTATAAAATGCCATTATGATACAAAATACAATTTTTCTGATAGATCGAGCACAACTTTCAAAATTTTCAAAATACTTAAAAAATCTTAAGTTATGTGTTGAATATCAACGGATTTTAAGTTTATCAAATGATTTAGAAAGCAAAAGCTAATGGTTTTCGAATGGTATATTGCTGTTTGTATAACTTTAAAACTTTTAAATCTTTCAGTTTTTCTATTACTGGTTTCTATTTCTTAAACATTTTATGAATTTGAAGCTTTCTTTTAAGGAACTTCTGAAAATAGTATAAAATGAATGTTTATTTTCGAATAAAACGCGACTTTGTTTTAAAAAATCCATTAACAATGGACTAAGTTATTAATATTTTTAGAAAAAACAAAATTTTTTTAAAAACAGATTTCTGGATGATGCTTTATATGAGTTGTATGGTCAAAAATGGTCCGACTTTCATAAAATTTGTTGGAAGGATTTGTCTGTATATAAAAGTTATTTATAGTTCATATTATAGTAATAATTGTATTTAAAAGAGAATTATGGACTTCAGGGCCCAAATTATGGCATACGATATCGATCGAAATCTCCATTTAGATTCTATTGAGATTTCGATCGATATCGTATGCCGTAATTGGGCCCCAGGTCAAGTTGGACTAGGATCATATACGGCGTGATAATTTTAAAAATTAGCAGTATCATTAAGACTTCAACAAAACTTATTTTTTATGATTTTTGCAAAAATCGGGGCTTTTCGGTGCTGTTGCCATCAACAGATGTTGCTGGGTGATGTGACAGAGCAACTTATGCTGGATTCCTCAACCCGTTGAGTATCTTTTACTCTTCACGTAGTAGGGCGTAGGGTGATCGACTCGATTTTTCAACCGGTTTTAAAACCAGTTTTTTCTGCTTTACCAGTGTCGGTTTTTTCTTAATGTTGATTTTTCGAATATCGAATAACCCGGTTTTTTTACTTTTTAAAACCCGGTTTCGAATACTTTTATTTGCTTTGTATTCAAAGATTATTTAAATGAAATTTTTAAGTAAATAATAATACAGCCCGTCTAAATTTTAAAAATATTCGAGTCGAGGAACTATCGTATATTTTTCTACAGCTCCTTTGGTTAAACTTTTTTGATTTTCCTAATTAATTAAAAAAATTTATTTG